GGGGCAGGCTGGGCAGTGGGGCAGGCTGGGCAGGCTGGGCAGTGGGGCAGGCTGGGCAGGCTGGGCAGAGGGGCAGGCTGGGCAGCGGGGCCGGGGGCTCTGGCCACGGCCCAGCCCCGGCCGCACCTCTGGGAGCCTCCCGGGGCCGCAGCAGAGCGTGGCCCCCACAGGCCCCACCCTGAGCCCACGGCGAGGAGACACGGCCCCACGGGCACTGCACAGCCACGGGCTCCTGGGTCCCTGCTGCACCAAATCTGCTCCCACCATGGGCATCCAACATCCCTGTCCTGGTCTGTCTGGGGGAGGATCCCCACCGCCACGTCCTGCTCCTGCTCTGGGGATCCCCATGCCCATGTCCTGATCCCATTGTGGTGGATCCCCATGGCCATGTCCTGCTCCTGCTCTGGGGATCCCTACTGCCATGTCCTGGTCCCACTGTGGTGGATCCCCATGGCCATGTCCTGCTCCTGCTCTGGGGATCCCTACTGCCATGTCCTGCTCCCGTTTTGGGGATCCCCACAGCCATGTCTGGGTGCCACTGTGGTGGATCCCCATGGCTATGTCCAGCTTCTGTTTTGGGGATCTCCATGGCCATGTCTGGGTCCTGCTGTGGTGGGTTTCCGTGCCCATGTCCTGGTGCCGTTTTGGGGATCCCCAGGGCCATGTCCTGGTCCCACTGTGGGGCTGGCGAGGTGCCACCCCAGTGGGGTTTGGTGTAGAAGTGGGTGCTGGGATGAGGAGGGGATCCCACGATGCCACAAGCAGGACACAGCCCCGCCCTGGCCCAGCACAGCAGGATGAGCTCATTGCCCTTCCCCTCCCAGCTGCTCCCGGGGCGGCCGCAGCGAGGGCAGGGCCCCACCATGGCCGGGACAGGGGAACCAGGGCCCCGGCAGCTCCCCTGTCCCTGCCCAGCCCCAGCGGTGCCAGCCCCGGCAGTGCCAGCCCCAGCGGTGCCAGCCCCAGCTCTCCTGGCTCCAGGCTCTGTGCCCGGGGCTGTGCCCGCTCTGGCCCCGCAGCATCCCCAAGATCTGCAGGATCTGCAGCCAAGTCACGGCCCCAGGAGCCGGGCGGGGAGCGGGCCCGCCAGCTGCGGGGTGAGCTCGGTGCCACGCCTCCAGCCCAGCTCCTGGCCAGTTCCCAGCCTCGCTGAGCCTTCCCGGACTTCATCCGGCATCCAGGCCGTGTCCCACACCACAGCCCCACCAGGCAGGATTCACATTCCACACGCCAGCGATCCACATCCTGCAGGGATCTGCATCCTGAGCCTCAGCTCCAGGGAGCCACACCCCAGAACCAGGGCTGTGGATCCAGGGGTCACATCTTGCACCCCAGCTCCAACAGCCAGGATCCACATCCCATACTCCAGCCCCGGTGCCCAGGCTCCATGTCCTGCACCCCATTCCAGCCCCACCCTGCCCATGGTGCTGGTCTGGACCTGTTGGCTGTTCCAGGCCATGCCAGGCTGGGCCAGGTGGAAATGCTGTGGAGGCTGCTGAGAGCTCACAAAAATACTTCGTGCTTTATTTCCACCTCAAAGCCAAGGCGCTGCGGGGGCAGCGTGTCACACGCATGCAGGGACACGGATGGAGCCCATGGATGGGGACACTGACGATGGACACGCGCGGCAGGACCCGCTCGAAGCCAGCTCGGCCCCGGCTCTGCCAGGGCCCCGCAGCTCCTGCTGGAGGAGGCTCTGCCCAGCCCTGGGATGAGCACTGGGACATCCCAGGGAACTCTCGCTGGTGGCTGTGCTCAGGTGGAGGGCAGGGAAGGACCCACACCGGTCCTTCCTGGCCAAGCCTGGGGTGGGACGAGCCCCGGCACGTGCAGACCTCCCCAAAATCAAGACAGCTCCAGGTGCCCCTTCCAGTAGCATTGCAGGAGGAGCCCGGGGACACTGTCAGCCCCCATCTGCCATCCAGCCACGTCCCCTGTGCCCTGGCAGCCACAGCTGCACACTGGGGGCACTGCTGAACCCCAGCAGTTCCCAGCTCCAGCCCAACGGCACAGGGGAAGCCATGGGGACGCTGAGGCAAAGACCTCCAGCACCAGCACACTCAGCCTTCCTCCCCAGACTGGGCTGGAACAGGCACAGCACCCCTGGAATAGCCTGTGCTGCTGGGGGAGATTCTGGGAAAAGCAGGAGTGAGATGTGCTTGCTCCCAGCACCTGCTCTGCCCCGTGTGCTCCCACCCTGCTCCAGGCAGTCCCTGCATGGCCCAGCACCTTCCCACTCCCCTCCCGGGCGCTCCGGCACAGAGGGGCCAGGACCCTGCCCCAGTCCAGTGAGAGACCAGTGCCTGAAACCAGCCCAAAAGGCCACCAGCCCTTTTTGAGGACTTGCCCCAAGACCCCCAGCCTGGAGGAGGAACCGTGAGAGCCCCCAGGCCAAGAAAGCTCAGGAGAGGGCTGGAGCCCCGTGTCCTGATAGCAGGAGCAGCATCCTGCTCTCCCTGGAGCATTCTCCAAAGCAAAGGCTGCAGGCCGCTGTTCCTCCTCTGTGCTGCCCTCTGGAGCTGGAGCCACGCTGCGGGTGCAGCTGGGGCCAGACACTCTGGATCTCGGGAGGACCCTGGCAGCAGCTGCACAGCAAACACCCGGCAGGACAGGGACAGGAGCCCCAGCAGCAGGGCTCCTAGAAGTGCTTGTCCTCCAGCAGCGAGCTCACCACCAGCTCCTTGTTGCCGAAGTCCCAGAAGGCAGTCATGTGGAAGGCCATGTTGGAGAGGACAACCAGGTACTCCAGGAAGGCGAAGACAGTGTACACTGGGGGAGGAAACACAGCAGGTGAGGAGACCCACAGCTGCATCTGCCCTGGGAGCTGGGGAGGGTCTCTGGGCCCCCTGTTTGGGACAGCAGAGCAGGGGCTGGGGGGCTTGACCCCCCACCAGGGAAGAAGTGTGGCTGGAGCTTCCCTGGGCTGGGATTTGGAAGGCAAAGCATCACATTAGGAGGATGTCAGACATCAGGAAGAATTCTTAGACATCAGAAGGAATTTTTTCATAGAAGGGGTGGTCAGGCATTAGAAGAGGCTGCCCAGGGAGGTTTGGAATGCCCATCCCTGGAGGTGTCCAAGGGAGGCCTGGAGGTGGCACTCAGTGCTCTGGGCTGGGGACAAGGTGGGCACCAGGCACAGCTGGGACTTGCTGATCCCAGGGATCTCTTCCAACCTTAACGATCCTGTGATTCAGTGATTCTGTGACCGCCCAGCCCCTTCCCCCGGCAGCCCCCTCACCTCCAGGGCTGCAGTACCAGTTGTGGTGGAAGTAAACGCACACAGCGAACGCGAACGTGATGAAGGTGCAGAAGAACAGCAGCTGCTTCCACTTGTACGACTTGCGCTCCTGGAAGAGAGCAAGGGCTGGGTGATGCCAGAGCAGCCATCCATCCCATCCCATCCCATCCCATCCCATCCCATCCCATCCCATCCCATCCCAGCCCGTCCCGTCCCGTCCCGTCCCGTCCCGTCCCGTCCCGTCCCATCCCATCCCATCCCAGGGAAGCTCTGCCCTGGCCCCACACAGCCCGGGGGGCTCTGCACCCTGGCTGCTTGTGCAGAGCCCCACAGGCTAGCCCCAGGGGTGGCTTGGGCTGTGCCCCGGGCACACAGGGCTCACACCTACAGGGAGATACAGGGTGTGAGGGAGCCATGGGGGCCCAGCAAATATGGGGC